AAAACCGAATTTACCCCTGGGCAGACAACTTGGAGTTGGATTCTTGACAGCATTCCTGCTCACTCTTCCCAGTTTCCAGTTTTATTATACCAACAATTGGTTTTTACAAACTAGAAGACAATGAATGTATAAGTTCTATGGAACAGTGAGATAAGTCTAAGCTTCTTGTTTTTGTATTTAAAAAAATATTGATTCTATGGATGGTCATTTGTATCCTGTTGAAGGTGATTTTAAGTTTAAGTATATAGAATTTGAATTTCTACAGTCCTTGTAGTTTTAATGTAATGTTTCCATGTTAGTTCCATTACAACCTTGGCTCCTGGCGTACAGTAATTTTTGAGTAGTTGCTCACTGCCAATTATTTTACATCTCTCGTTGGACACCACAATATTGGCACTTCAAGATAATATGACACTACTTGCTGTACCTACATCTTTCACTTAACTGTCTGGTGTAAATTAATATTTTAATTTTGTATATATCTGTAAAGAGTCTACCAAATGGCTTGATGGAAATTTGCAAAATGAACCAAAATCCCTTTAGAGCAGTAGGTATGCCTGTTTTGATTTTTCAGTAAATATGTTGTGTTTGTACGCATATCTGCACAATGGAAACCATATTCATTATATCATCTTCCAAATAATGAGGAAAATATAAAACTGAATCAATGTGCTTTGGAAATACAGAGAAATCATGTTGACTCAAATATAGAGGGGACTTAGTTAATCTCTTAACTCTTTATTCAATTAATTAGCTTTAGGAGATTCTTTTTCCAGTAAAAATATAGGGACCATATAGGAAATGATTGAAGAGGGAAAAAAATTAGGTACCTAAAATCACAACCCATTTATAAACTATATTAATTATAAATAATTGTTATGGATTCAATAAAGTTTGTCTAAAGACTTCTGCTTACTAAATACCCTGACATCATTTAAATCAATTTAGTCTAGTGTATGAATCAAAGGTAATAATTATATTTATTTAATACTAGAATTAGTAAGATCAGAAAGAATATCAAAGTGTTAATGGTACCAAGGATTCAAGTTCTTGCCTCAGTAGATGGAAATAATTGAGGAGTTTTTTGAGTTCATTTTTTTCCCATAATCATTTTTTAAAAATTATGTGTGCATTTAGTTCTTTTAATAACTGATTTTAAAATTAAATTGATATTTTAAATTTTTAGGAATAATTTATTTTCACATTGTTTTACCAAAAAGGGGAGGGGAGTTTTGGAAAGTCAATTTTTTTAAATAACATGTAAAATAGTATGTTTCCTTTTAAAGCCAGGAGGGCTCAAGCCCTGACACTATGAGCCACCAGTGACTGTCCATGGCTACCTCGTGAGCACGTACAAGCTCCCCTGCGGGTCTTTCACCTGGGTCTTCTTGGGAGAGCTTCTCTATAATAAAAATTGGTTTCCCACTAAATAGGCAAAACTGGGCAAGGATGGATGCTTTTGATATTTTTGTTTTCACTTCTGTTAAAACCATGTGGTAGAATATCCAGGTGTGGCATGATGGGGCAAAAGCAGGTGCCTACAGGGAAAGGTTATTTTTGTTTCTTGGTTTGTGTTGGGGGTGGGGGAGAGCTAAGACTAAGATGTTTATTGCCCTAATCATGCCAAAACACTATTATTCAAGATGCTTCTCCTGCATTTCTAAGAATAATCTTAAATAAATTACATTATAAACATTCCCCCTACTACTGTCTCCCACCCTAGGTAAAGCCCATAGGTGGTCTGGGTCCTTTTATCCTTTCTTGTATTATGCCAAAGAATCAACTTATTTTCACTGAAAATGATAAATAAACTAAGCTTGGTATAGCCATAATGATTTAAGTCAGTATACTATTTTACCTATAAAATACAAAATTTCATCCTTGCAACCATTTACCAGGAGCCTTGAGCTTTATGTTTACTCCAAAGGCCTTGTCAAGGAAGTGTAATTTTTGTTTTGCCTTCTTATTTACTCAGTTTGGTCACATGTACTTAAAAAGACAAACAGAAAAGCACCCTACTATTTGTATGTTGATATAACTGTTTGATTTGATACAATCTGTCTGTTCCTTGTTTAACAGGTCTCTGTAAGCAAGCTTGCAAGCATTTTGTGTACATTTTATCTGAGGTGAAAATGAAAATTCTAAAGAGAAAATATTTTAAAAGATACTGTATTTATGTTGCTTGTGTTGTAGAATAAAGATTCAAACGCATTGAAAATCTGATGTGTGAGGCAATTTTATTCACTGAATAAATGTATCAAAATAATGTAAATAGCTTGTGTTTACAGAATTCTGCAGAAAAGAACCAGATTCCTTCCCATGGCATTTCAGAACTCTGAAAGGCCCTTTTCCATCCTGTAACTTGGAGATAGCCACTACTGACAATTTGGTATATGCCTAAAAAAAACAAATTTGCAGAAATATATATACCATTGTTTCCTTTTTTTGTTTTAAAAAAATGAAGGCTTATTCTATGTTGTTTTGATTTTTTTCTTCTTAAGAATGGGTGTAGATATTGACATTTATTTAAAAAATTGGAGTACTACTTTTTGTTCTTTGACAACTAAATCCCTCAATTAATAATAAGGACATTATTAAAAGGTAATATTGACAAGAGAAGTACAGTCACTTTTAACTTCTGGTATTAGATTGCATTTTTAAGTGTAGCAGTATCAAAACATCACATCGTACTTCATAAATATACAATTATTGTCAATTAAAAACAAAAAAAGGTTTTTAAAAAAAGAAAACAAATTTTAAAACAGATTAGCTGTTTCAGAAGTCTATAATGTCATAAGCCTAGGTATGAATCATCAAACCAATCATAGAAAATTGCTGTTTGGCCAATAGAAGGATGTAAGACCAAATTGCGGTAGAAATGAAATCTTCACATGTGACCTGAAATCATGATTCTATTATTCATATACTCTGGTAATCTCACAGTTATACCACTAAGACTCAATCACTTCCATCATAAGGATGAAATAAAACTAAAATAGACATTAATGTACTTTGCATAAGGATGTCACAAACATAAGGGACCAACTGTGTTCATGGATGGAGAGACCTGTGGCAGAGTGGAGAAGGCCTTGGGCCACAGCTAGGAAAGCAGAGTTCACATCCCCCACTTTGTCCTTTTTGGGAGTGGGAAACCTGGACATGTGACTACTCAGAGATCAAGTGTCCTGCTTTATAAAATGAAAATCTACTCTTACCTCAAAGGGTTGTTTTAAAATAATATGAAAGTTCAACCTTGTGCTTTGCAAACAAACACTAAGTGCTCTGTGCAGGAGAATACCTTTTTCTTAAATAGCCCCAGTGTTTTGCAAGCTAATTTATACTTGAGATCTAATATGTACATATTTTTGCCATTCACATCCATAAACATACCCTAACAGAAAGCTCGGTGTTTTACACCAATCTAATATGAGGAGGCTAGCAGCTCAGGAGCACATCTCTTTAATCAAACAGTTTTAGAAATAAATTATAAGTCAATGGCCAATTCTTCAATTATTAATATCCAGCAGTGAATATACTATGTATATAAATCTATACATATTTCTTTTAAAAAGGGACTTGATATACTTCAACTATTTGGTTTATGATCAAAACTTATAATTTAGCTTTGATGTATATTTCATATCACTCAGAAAATTCACTTTTCTATTCAGCTTAAAGGTAGATTCAGTAAACAAGTAAAAATAGAATTAAAGCATAATGCACTATTGTGGTCTTCACACATTGACCAACATTGCTATTATCTCAAGCCTTTGAAAGAGCACTTTAAGCATGTTTTCTATCTTCTCCTTGTTTATGTTTATTTATAGATTCCTAGTTACAACACCAAGACTTTAGTGCCCTGAGCCTGCCCTGCTAACCTAATCCGTTTGCACCAAATGTTTTGTTGTAAGAGAAACAAACTATCCAATTTAATGATCTCATTCAAACTCAAAGATCATAAAGGCATAGTTAAATCCCAAAGAAATTTATCAGATTCTAAATCATTTCTATAAAAAAAAAAAAAAGTACTAGGTTCTATTTGAATATGAGGGATCAAATGCACAACAGCTTAGAGCCGAGAACTCAAATACTGGAATCTCAATTCCGTTTGATATGGTTTCCTTGCCCCACTTATGGGGAAGCTATATTGAACTATTGTTGTAACCAGTACAAAGAATGCAAAGAAATAAACCAACATTCTCTAGTGGTATATCTAGCAGAGAATGAATTAGAAACACAAGAAAATGAATTATATGTTGAATGTTTTGATGCAGACAGTTCCATGTTTGACTCACCTTGAAGAAATAAGTACTGAAGCTAATTTACCAATTATAAAGGAAAGATATTGTTGACTATATTACAGTTAAATGTTCAATATTCCATGGTTCATTTTAATCTGTAATAGCCATCTAGTCAGTAAATTCTTGCTCGCTTTTTCTAAATAACTATGGGTTATAAAAATAATATTCTTCTAAAGTCTAGATTTTTTTTTCAAGTGTAAGAAATGTATATTATAGACCTCTCAGATCAAAACCATTTAGAAATGGGCTTCTTGGGAAATGAATGGGGCATAGTTGATGTTTGTTCTAAGCACAACCAACTAAAGACACAGGCAGTTATGTATATCAGTGTATATCAGTACAGTTTAACAGGGTTAAAACAGGTTATTAAATTGGTAGATTTAATTTAACTAGCTCTTATTTGTATAGGGGAAAAAGCCTTTAATCTTTCAAGGATTGGAGCATGGCCTGGCATGAGAATAAAAACAACTTGTCCTCACCAGGTGTCTCTCGTAGCTCCCTGCTCTGCCTGGCCAGGGGCAGTAGCCCTCCCATCCTGTGTCCTCAGGCTAGCACACCTGTACATTGTCTCCTTACCTGCTCACACTCCCCCTAGAAGTCAACTGGAAATAAGTTAACATTAACCATAGAGTTGTTTCAAAAGCTGCTCTTGAAAGGATGCACAGCATTCAGTAATTATCAGAACAATTTGGATCATACCTTTCATAAAATGGTAGACTGGCCAAAATTCAGGATGATCACAGGTATGGATTAGAAGGACCAGATCCCTGATCCAAAGATTGTAGACAGATGCTACCAGACTTCCTTTCTTCAATACAAATTTTCCTCCAAAGCATTAAAAATATATTTTCCTGAAAAGTATATTTCAGGTATTAATCCATGTTTTTTTTTATCTCCCAATATTCCCTACCAGTTCCTTTCTCCCTATTCAAGTAAATATAATAGTTGGCTCAGAAGATCATTATTCCAGGGGAGGGAGATGGGGTGACCAAATGCCAAGAGCTGCCTGGAGTTTCTCCAGCTCTTGTATTTTAAAACCCTAAGCCCTTCACATATATATTAAGTTTGTGCCACCCTAGCCAAACAGAGGTTCGTAACACTTTTTAGTTGAGTTAGAAAAAAAGACAATTAAAATTTGAGACATGAAGTAGAAGGCTGAGATTTTTACCTGCTTTTGTAATGCATAAACTAAAAATCACTGTAAATTCTTATGTCTGGTTTTGTAACACAATTGGAATGACACAAAAATAAATAAACAGCTGTTCTTACAAATGCAAAGTTATTTCCAAGGAAGCATGAACAGAGTTGGCAATTAACAAGACCTCCTAAGTCCAATGTCAGCGGCCCTCAGCCTCAGAAAGCTGTCTGCTCTCTTGAGGAACAAGGCTGCCTCAGGTCATATTCCACTGGGGTCCCAAATGCTCTCCCTTTGAGTGTGTGAGCCATTTTGACAGTAGAATTTGGTTCCAGCCACAAGGCAGGGACTCAATGTGGGGCAAATGAACCAAATGTGTCCCCCTACCCAATTCCACAGCCTCCATGCTGCTTGCTTTTGGGTTACCTTGGACACCCCATGTCCATTTCTGCCAAGACTATAGCAGCCCCACTTCATGTTTAGGTAATCAGCAAAAGACACCTCCCGCTCCATGTGAATATAGCCAGATTCGGCCTTAGAGATTCAAATTGTTTTTCTCTATAATCTTCCTAAGGAACACGAAACCAGTTTACTTAGTGACTCCACCCCTATCAAAATCATCCCTCCCCTCTGCTTACCACAATACCCCCCCTCTCGCCCGTCCTCTTCACAGCCAAGCTCACTTAAGCACCTGAACCAGCTCAACCATCCTAGACAGTCTCAAATTCTGATGTCCCTAAGAATTAACAATCATTGAATATTGAACTTGCTGGTGTCCAGGGCTTGCCCCAGAAATTCTGATCTAGTTAGTATGATGCAGGGCTCAGGAATCTGCATTTTGACAAGCTTTCAAAATACAGAAGTAGAAGTTGTCCAAGCATTCTATTCCCAAGGTAGCTTCACTTTAGAACAGAAGTTTGTAACACAGGGTAGGCAAAGAAGAGGCCCATGGACAAGGAAGTGAAAAAAATAAAGCCCTATTTTCACTTACTTCTAATTGAAATTTAAAATGTTCTTCCATTTTGAATGTAGGTAACAAACCACAGTGTCATCGACAGGACCTACAACTTGTTACCCAGAGAAGTCAATTTATTTAAAATATGTCCTTTCATTCTCACCAACAGTCTGCAAGGTGACTTTTCTGGACCACATATTACAGATGGAGAAAGGAAAGCCTCAGAGAAGTGAACAGAGAAATAACTTGCTAAAGGGTCCATAGCTAGAAATTGGCCAAGCCAGAATTCGAACCCAGTTCAGCCTGACTACAAAGCCATGCATGCTCTACTATGACAAGACACCTTAAGGTAAAAATGTAAATGCAATTAACAGCCTGGCTGAAGTCTTGCCTGGTGCCGTATCTCCAACCTCAATCAGTTGAAAATCACCCACAGACTTAAAATCAAGCCTTTTTAAAATCAGTACTCACAAAATAATTGTGTTTATACTAGTCCCCACAATGAGAGACCGAGTCTGGTCTCATAACCACAGGAAACATAAAATAAACCCATCTGCTGTAAAAATAAGCAGCGCACAATTCAATGGATAACTGTATGCAACTCAACAGTTTAGCATTTGCCAAAAGATAACATGAGAGAGCTAGCTTCAAGACAAACTTAAGGTCATTTTAAATATTCATAATTTTTAGAATTTCTAATTTTATCCCTGCATTAAATTATGCTGTTGAGGAACAATGTATTCAGACCAAATTATCTCAGCTTCCTTTAGAGATGCCTTCACTAAATTACAATGTAATGTCATGCCTCAGCTTTTAAAGAGAATCGATATACGAAATCACCAAATTTGTCTTCTGTAAATCTATGTTAACAGCAGGTGTCCATTACATTATTCCTTTGTTTTCTTATATAAGGAAGCGAGAGCCCAATTTTACAAGAATTTAGAGCCAAGGCCTTTGATGACATTTATTTGATCTTATAATAAATATTGACTTTTTAAAAGGGGAGGTACCTGTTTGTTTTTGTATTTGTATTTTGCTTTAGCTGCCAGGAAACTCAGAGCTAAATACAGTTTCAAGTAGAGTGTTTAGGAGCAAGGGAAAAGTAAAATACAGGCACCAAGCTATTTTATGCTCACCATATTTCACCGAACTCAAGATTACTCCTACCAATTTAAGAAGTGGTTTCAATTCATTTTATCCCATGCAAGGATAGTAAGTATACTGACCTAACTTTCCTAAGGCTGCCCAGCTAGAGAACAGTTAGAATTTAAGCCCAGGTCAAATCAAAATTCAACTTTTCCAAACATGTTGAAAACATTGTTTCATCTTAACTCCCTGGTAGCACCCATATAGTTATTAGTTTTATATTGTTTTTATTTATGAACAACCTTAGAGCCTTTTGGTAAGTAATTTGTAAATCACATGTAATTAAAATCTGCCCTCCAGAAATATGTGATTTAGCTAACTCTGTGATATAACTAGCATATGTACCTACCTACAGACACTCTTAACAATCCAAGGGGCACCCCCAAATACCCAGGATTTCAAGTCCATACTAACCAGATACTGTAGAGTGGCAAAAATCGGTGACATAAGCTAGAGAGTCTGAGGCAGGTGTCCCTCAACCCCACATGGGTCCCTCAGCACCCGCAGGGAGAGGAAAGGATTATGGGATTGCCAGTCTCTCTTCAGAATACATCCTTGTCTAAGAAGAAGATGGTGACTCAAGAGTTCTCAGAGTTAACTTTCAGTTAAGTGTACCAATTGTCCTTTAATAATAGACATAGCATAGCATTTCCTATCATCACAGTAGCTGACATTGAGTACTTACTAACTACAAAGCATTTTACGTGAATTATTTTATATAATCCTCAGAACAGTTCTGAGCTAGGTATTATCCCTATTTTACAATGGGAAAAGCTCAGGTTTAAGGAAATCCCCTAATTTGCCCAAAGTCATTTATGTTTAAATAGTAGAAGTAGGATTCAAACCAAGCAATCTGGCTCTAGAGCCTGTACCTTTGACTACTAGCCTATGGGCCTGTTTATAAACCCATCAGAAGAAATTAACCTTAAAAATTACCTTAATAATCTTTAAAAAGCTTATTTTAAAAACTGAACCCAAATATTAATAGCATCTATTTTTAAATTTTTAAAATTTATGTTAATCAGGAATAGGTAAAATTCAGTAGGAATATTTAATTCTCATAATGGCACTAGATGATCCAAATACTTTTCAGTTGTTTTAGTATATGTGCTGCTGAAGCAAGCACTAAATACTTTTCAGAATAGCAACAAATTAAATTTTGCTATTAAATAGTCTATTTTATGCTTAGATGCAAAACCTAATAAACAGGACTTGAGTTATCCTCTAGAGCTGTACTTATATTGTTTGGATTCACTTGTGGAGGTGATCTATAATTGCTCTATTACCTACAAATGTCCCTTCCCTGGCAATTTTGTTTTAGACAGCTTCTTCCAGTCCCTCAGCTTGAAAACCAGTTTTTCCCTGATGATCCCATGTTCCTTAAAACTTTCTGGGAGTCAGGCCGGAAGAAGTATAGGAAGTCTCCAGGCTCCCACCATGTTTCTAGAACACTGCTCTGACTCTTTATCAACCCTCTCCTTTGAAACCTTCATTCCACTTCAATCACCAGGTTGTAGTCATCATTCTCACCCCTCATGTTTATCCCACTTTATGTCTCAGGTGTAATATCCCACTTTATGTCTCAGGTGTAATATTATGTCTCAGGTATAACTAGGTTGTGGACTAATCCTCATGGCTCAGTTCAAAACAATGACAAAAATCCAGAAAACATTCCTCCAAGGTTGTGGTTCAATACAAGTCACACTGACTGACATTGTTCACCATTCTTCCCACCTGAAAATAATTGCTTGGATAAATGCCCACTTCTGTGCCCAAATATGGGCTCCCAAGCACAAAGGGCATAAGGAGCTTAAGTTTAGAAAATATCTTGAAGTTAAAGGGGCAAACTACATTGCCATCAATTATCAAATTTTTACTAAATAGAACACATCTCCAGTCTGAAATCTCTGCACTTGGGTTAATTCCTGCAGTTTGGAACTATCACCAGAATGAAGACCATTTTTTAGCATCAAAGGAGACACTATCCTAAAAAGCAGAAACTACTTACAAACCCCAAAACTGCAGTTTTCCAACTTCAAAACTTTAAAAATCCATATTCTTATTATGAATAACGCTTACATAATGTTTGTACACATTTTCATTTCTTTTACATAGATACCAGGAATAGAATTGCTGGGTTATATTGTGTATCTATTTCTTCTTGACTAAGCTTTGGTAGTTATTTATCTATTTCATTTAAGTTGTCAAAGTTATCCATAATATCTCCTATTAGTCTTTAAATATCTGTAGTAATGCTCTGTTATTCCTGAAGTTGGCAATTTTTGCCTTTTCTCTTTGCTTCTTGATCAGTCTAGTTGAATTAATTGCATTCATTCTTTTCAAATAATTTAAATTTCATTGTTTTCTTCTATTTTTGTCCATATTTTATTTCTTTGATTTCTGCTACTATATTATTTCTTTCACACTGCTTATTTTGTGCTTAATTCACTTTTTCTCAAATTTCTTAAGGTGGCACCGAGGTCAAAATATTTTTTAATTTTTCCTATGATTTCTTCTTTAATACTTTTGCTACTGAAATGTTATTTTACAAATATGTGGATATTTTCCACATATATTTGTTTGTTTCCCATTGATGTTCCAGAGAACATGATTTCAAACCTTTTTAATTTATTAAGACTTTTTATGCCCCATAATATGATCTGCCTTATTCAATTTTCCATGTACACCTAGAAAGAATGCATATTCTCCTGTTGTTGGATGGAATGTTCTATAAATATCAACTAGGCCAATTATCCTGGGAGGGAATATTACAATTTCCAACTATAATTTTGAGTTAGTTTATTTCTTCTTTTAGTTTCTTTCATTTTTGCTTCACACATTGAGGCTCTGTTATTGCGTACATACATATTTAGGACTGTTACATCATCTTAACAAATGGATCCCTTTGTTATTATAAAATGTCTTTTTAAATCCTTGCTAATATTTCTTGTGCTGATATCAATTTGTCTGATACTAATATTAATATTAATCATTTGATTGATATTATTATATGGCATACTTTTTTCATTATTTTCCACTTAACCTATTTAGATATTTATATTTAAAATTGAGTTTTTGGAGAGAGTTTACCTTGGAGTCCAATCAATTGGGCAAAATCAGAAGTCTATGGAAGAGTTGGTCTCAGAGGAAACTGAGAAAGAACTACCAATTAGACTGGAGGAGAACAGAGTCAGGGTGTTTCCAAAGTCAAGTATGTGAGCATTTCCAGAAGAGAGCTGTCAGCAGGGATCGGTGCTGCAGGAGCAACAATAGGATGAGGACTGAAAATAGCCCATAGTCAATTTGAAGGTCTGCATGACTTTCATCAGACCGATTCCAGGGTAAGGGTTAGGGCTGTGGAGAGACAAGCAACTGGGAGAAGGGAAGACAGGGATGATGAAACAAAGCAAAGCATAGAAGGATGAGTGTCAAGGGAAAGGGTTAAAGTTCCTGCTTTATTTCAAGGCAGGAGATAACCTAAAGCTTACAGACAGAGGGCAAACGATTTGAAAGAAAGGCTACCATCCCCTAGGGATGGGGTTGTGTAGATATAGCATCCTGTGGTGTTTGAGAAGGGGCCAGGGTGGGGACCTTAGGGTGAATGGGTGTGTTGGGGGGGGGTGTTGGGAAAAGGGAACAGGATCACAAAAGGGGGTGCTGGGTCATAGGTTGGAGGGGGACCTAGGTGGGCACAACTTGCTGTGGACAAAAAGGACAGCTCTTCCTCAGCACAGCTTCCACCATGGTGGATGAGAAAAGATGAGGAACATTGACAAAAGTGAGGACTCTTTAGTGTTCCAGTGGCTCTTTGAGTACACAACTGCCCAAATGCTGCACGTTGACTTCTCCATGTTGATTTACTTATCTGTCCTCCACATGCTTACAGACTTCTTTGGTCAGGCACTGTTTTTTATATGTGTATATCATAATGCCTGGAACTTAACAGAGACCCAATAAAAATGTTTGCTTAATGAATGACATAAACATGTTGCCTAGTAACAGAGGCTTTATGCCACTTGCATGGTGGTTAATTCAGAATTGGAGGCCCTGAACTTAGACTCCACCATCTGAGAATCCTCCATACTCCAGCATTCTATAATCCAGTGGGTGAGGGATACAGGGTCTTCAAATTTTAATTCAATACTGATGGTTCATGACATTACAGAAATATAACAAATATCTATTTGCAGGGAGAACTACCAGCAGGAGACTTTAAAATACATGGAAAGAATAATCAAAAGATATAAAGGGCAAGAAATTGAAATATAAAATTCAGCAAAGTTTTGAGTTATAAATACTGCTTTTTAGGGAATGATGCTTACAATGGGAGTGCAGATTAAAGTTGGCATTTTAAATCCAATGCCCCCAAATTAAATCACCAGTACCCTGATTGTATGTCAAATAATAGAAATGTTAAATAATGCACATTTCAATTCAAAGGCTTTCATCTGGATAAATTGGCCTTGCCCTTCTGTATTTCAACAGCAATACCCTAGAGTATACAAATGTATTTCTAAATCACCTCACCTAACTACTAGGAAATTATACAGTATATACTGTACCTCTAACCAAGAAAAATAACTGTACTTTTTATTTTTGATAATATCAATTTCACTATCCCACCAAATTGAAGATTTTACTTTCATTGATTTTAATAAAAATCTAGAAATCTGCTTCAAGATAGTCAGTTGTTAGAAACATGTCTAACGGTGGGACACATCATTTTTATCAGGGAAAGAAATGGATGTTCCAGTGCTAGAAAGTATGCTGAGGTTATGATGTAAATGATTTTGCTCTGGCTATAACACCAACTCATCATGAAACATTAGATCAGTCACATAGCTTCCATTTTCTCCCTATAAAATGAAGGGATTAGACTAAAACATTATTGCTCAAAGAGTAGTCACTGAAAAAATAGATCTGAGAACTATTTCTCAAAAAAAAAAAAAAAAGTACTCCATGGTAAAATAAGATGAAATGTTCTATAATATAGCAAAGCACAGCAGAATACAGATAGATGCTCCTCTCGCTGTATGGGTCACATAGCTTAACCTAACCTACCTTAAACATACTTTGAACACTTACATTACCCTACAGTTGGGCAAAATCATCTAATAGAAAGCCTATTTTATACATGAAATGTTGAATATCTCATGTAATTTAGTGAATAAATCATTGCATATCATACTATGTGCATCACTTTCACATGATTATAAAGTCAAAAAATCATAAGTCAAACCATCATATGTCAGGGATCTTCTGTACCTGAGAATCTGACAAGTCCTTCAATGAAGAAACATTTCTAGCCATGACCTGGGATTTCCCATAGTTATTTGAACACTTAACTTTTGTCTTCCTTTTATGTTTATAAAAATATGAAGTACTAACAACAGGTGGGACACCTTTGGAGAAACCATAACCTAGATAAACACTAATATTTTCAGCTGTATGTTATCTGTGCTGAGTAAATCTGAAGTTAAAATATTCAATATAGTAAACTAGCAAGATGTTGTGTGTAGAATATTAATCATGTGGCAACATGGTGGACTAGAAACTTTGAATGGTCCTTCTATTAGAACTCTGCTAGACCCCAGATATATAACAACGACATTTTTGATGCTTTGTGGAGCACACTAGAAGGTAGGGCTGATCTCTCCAGGCAGAGTGATGCAAACCTGAAACCAAAGCAGAGAGCAGCAAGGTGGAGTTGTCTCTTTCACCATGGAATTGGAAGGCTGAGCTTGAGGTTTCTGACAAGGTGGACGAGCTAAATCTGCAACTCCCACTTTTAATCCTGAATTTTCAAGTGTGGCTAATATGATCTCAGGTTGTTGGTTGCTCTAATAGTACAGAATGCAAATCATCCCTAGAGGAAAAATCTTCAATTTAGTCTCTCTAGATTCCTGTCCATCGGATTCAAAATACATGAACTTTCAGTTTAAAAAGTTACCAAACACACCAGGGAAAAAGCTATTCTCACTGTTTTGAGAGAAAGATTAAACAAAAATAAACAGACTTTGATTTTTAAGGACTCAGATATTTAAATTATCAGATAAAGAATAAAAATGAAATTATATGAAATATTTAATGAATAGCATTCAAACAAATTAAAGATTCTAGGAATAAAATATCATAAAAATGACTACTTTTGGGGGGAAAAAGTCTAGATCATTCTTAAACTCAGGGCTAGATGTGTTTACAGTTGATTAGGCTCAGTAGAGGGGAGAATTACTAATGAGTCAGTAAATGCACAATGCAGCAGAGTCAAAGAGATGAAACATGGAAAGAGAAATTAAGAGACATGGAGGACAGAATGAGAAGGTCTAAAATAAATTTAATAACAGATTTAAAATAAAGGGAATGAAAGAAAGGCAGTATTTCACAGGATGGTAACTCCAAATTTTCCAAAAGCTGATGAAAAGACAATGTGACAGAGTTCTCCAGAGAAACAGAACACATAGATACAGACACAGATATATAGAGATAATGACTTATTATTATATAAGAAAATATCTCTCATAATTATGGAAGCTGAGAAGTCCCACAGTTTTCCACCTGCAAGGCAGAGACCCAAGAGAGCCAATGGTGTAGTTCCAATCTGAGTCTGAAGACCCAAGAACCAAAAGAACCAATGGTATAAGTCCCAGTCTGAGAGCAGGAGACCAATATCCCAGCTCCTGTGGTCAGGCAGAGAGACTGAATTCTCCCTTCCTCTGTTTTTTTGTTCCATTCAGGCCCTCAACAGATTGGATGATGCCCACCTGAATTGGTGAGAGCAATCTGCTTTACTTAGGCTAATCTCACCCAGAAACATTCTCACAGACACACCCCAAGATGTTTAACCAAATATCTGGGTACCCCATAGCCCAGTCAAATTAAAACATACAATTAACCATGACATAGATGCATGAAACACAACTTTATAACAAGCAAATTTAAATAAATCTTCACCTTTAATTTCATAGTCATATTAAAGATCAAAAACAAAGAAGCTCTTTAAAGGCAGCCAGACGGGGAGAGAGAGAACAATTACAAGAATACGGCAGTTATAGTTTATCTAAAAAATAGCTGAAGACAGCAGTATAATATCTTCAAAATGCTGATAAAAAAATATCTGTCATGCTGGAAATGTTTACTCAGAAAAGCTATCTTTCAACAATGAGGGTGAAATTAAAAGTATTGTTTTTTATATAATTTTTATCAAAGAGAGAGGTTTTATTCCTTCATGAATAGAAGGAAGGAAAGTGTGAGATAAGAGCAGGAAAGCCAAGAAATTGGTAACTATATAGGTAAATCTAAACAAGAATTATGTGAACAAAAACTGCCTTATTTGTGGACTTAAAAAAAAAAAAGAACTGATATGAGCTATTAAATCACAAAAAGACACAGAGGAACTTTAAATGCAGCTAACACAATATGTGAAGAGTATTTATAACCCTAAATATTCATATTGGGAAAGAATATGAATTTACTCCTGCTAAGTAAAAGAAACCAATCTGAAAATGCTGCATGCCTCTATGATTCCAATTATAAGACATTCTGGAAAAAGCAAAACTATGGAGGCAGGACAAAGATCAGTGGTTGCAGAGAAGAGGGGTGAACAGGGGTAGTACTGAATGCAAATCATCCCTAGAAGATTTTTAGGGCAGTAAAACCATTATTCTGTATGATACATGTCATTACACATTTGTCAAAACTCATAGAAAATACAACACCAAAGAATGAGCCCTGATGTAAACCATGGACTTCAGTTAAAAATAATTTATTAATATTGGCTCATCAGTTGTAAAAAGTATACCACACTCATGCGAGATATTAAAAATAGGAGAATGGGGGGGAGGGCAAAGGGGTATATGAGAACACTGTACTTTTCATTCATTTTTTCTATAAACATAAAACTGTTTTCAAAAATAGTCTATTAATTTTTAACATATTAACTGCCATGAGAGTTGTATTTAACTCATGCTAGTTTTGAGCCTGGGGCCTTGTGAAGCACACATAACTCACATATCTCTTCCCCTTGGGAGACAACTATTTTTCAAGTTGCATATAACTTGTGCACAGAAACAATAAAAAACAACAAATATTTCATTAAATTAGAAAGGTTCGTTTTGAAGTTTTTATTCTATTTTCATAATAAAACACCGTGGCCCCAAGGAAAAATTATTTTTCTAGTCTGGCAGTCAATACGCTAGACAAGTTACATGGGGATCTTTAATATAAATATCTATTTTTAAATTCAAGATTATTTTATCTTCCAAAATTTGTGATCATTATTATATTTTACATATGCCTATATTTTCTTTAATTCTAGACAGGAAAAAC